CTTCTGAGAAGACCGCTGCCATAAACAGACCACAATCATCTCTCTCGGCCGATAGATACCGTACTCCTGGTATGAGTTCGGCGCTGTTGTCAACTCCAGGTGTTCCAGCCTTGCAACCACAAGGACTCGAAACCTTTTCAGCCTTTGGAGGCCCGTCGACCGCCTCCTTGCCCTCGTATCCGCAAACTTATACCGAACAAGCCATCCGCCGAGATATGATGGCGCCAAACGGTCCATCAGCCTACCGTCGTCCTCCATCTACGCGGTCACATGCCCTCTCCGCAGCTGGCCTATCTCATCGTTCTCCCTCCAGACTTGCGCTTGAACGGGCCATAGAAATCATCCAGACGCAACTCGCAGCGCTTTCTGAACGTATTGAGATAATCGAGTCCCACTCTTTTAGCACACAACCATTGGGGTCATCCCCTGGACCATCGAGGTCCTCTCCGACATTTGCAGGGAGTTCTCCCAACGGAGTACGCGATGTCATTTCTTGGAACTTTGATGAGATGGGACTTTGGGCCGTTGTGTTCAAATCGTTAGCGCGTATGCTGAAATCGATACGCGAATTCGCCATATTCTTTTCCAACAATGAAGGACGTTCGCCGACCTTCGTTGTAGTTCGGCGGTTGTTCTTGGACATTTCCTTTATACTTTGCATGCTCACTCTCATCAAGACAGTTTGGAGGAGGACGGGTGCGCGGAGGCGGGCGGTTAGTGTAGCGATGCGGGCCTTGTGGTGGGCTTTAGTGGGAAAGGCGCCTACGAGGGATATGGCAGACCGTGGGATCTAATCTGCTGTGGGTTTTCTAGTCACATATTCTATTTAACTTAATAGAAAGGGATATCCCTTTGGCCGACGGGTGCAACATCGGAATGACGTTATGGTCCGGATCGAAGGTCACAGTGTTATCTCCGCCTTCGCCTTATAAGAATTGGGGGGTACGGATGCTGGTGCTCTTCGATTCACCCCACGGGCACTTGAGCCACCATGGTAAACGTCGTTGAACTACCCATCCCTAAGTCCAACTCAAAGATTCCGGTCCAAACTGGGCTGTTCATCAATAACGAGTTTGTGTCGTCGGTAGACAACCTTGATCCAATCAGGTCGACCCCCTCTTGATTTATTATATCCCCCTTAACTCTACTCACACGCGCGCTCTGATTTCACAGAGTCTACAACCCCTCCACGGAGGAAGTTATATGCACGGTCACCGCTGGTGATTTCCCATCGCTATTAGTTGTGTCACTCGCGTTACTCAATGTCACCGCACCGTGTCCCAGCCTCTGAGAGAGATGTCGACATTGCGGTAGCGGCAGCGCGGAAGGCTTTTCGCGAAACCTGGGGGAAAAACGTCTCAGGCTTCGAGCGTTCTAGGCTGATTAATAAGTTGGCTGATCTTATGGAGAGAGATCAGCAGATCCTTGGGGAGCTGGAGTGTCTGAACAATGGCAAGCCCGTAAAAATTGCTCGGTGTGTTCAAGGAAAAGCCCAGAAACACTGTTCTCATCTAATTTCGTCAGAGACTTCGACATCGGTGATAGCATAGGATGTCTTCGATATTATGCTGGCTGGGCCGACAAAATTCTTGGCCAGGTTTTGTACCCCCTGAGCCTTTTATTTATAGAGGCACTCAGTTTTGGATTAGAGCATCGAAATCGATCACAAGACTAAGATTGCGATTACACATCCGGAGCCAGTTGGCGTCTGCGGACAGATGTCGGTCAAAGCAATGCGGTGCGAGGTTGATTGTTACTAATTTTCTCCTGACAGAATCCCATGGAACTATCCCATTCAAATGTGGTATGCCGAATAATACCGCTGAGCTCTGGACCAGTTTCATTCGCAGGATTCAGGGCATGGAAAGTCGCACCTGCACTAGCAGTTGGCTGCACGATTGTCATGAAGCCCTCTGAAATTACTCCACTGACTGCACTGGTACGCCGCATGGTCAGCCCATGAGTGCGGACACCTGTATGAACTCATTCTTCATAGAAACTGTCTGAACTTGTTAAAGAGGCAGGGTATGGCATAATTAGCATCCGTCCTGACTTTTCCTCACAGAGATTCACAGTTTCCCTCCAGGGGTAATTAACACCATTCCATCTTTGGGGTCTGTTGGCGGCGCAGCATTGGCCGCTCATAAGGGTGTTGACAAAGTCGCCTTTACGGGTTCTACCGTCACTGGTCGCAAGGTCATGGAAGCCGCCGCAAACAGCAATCTCAAGAAAGTGTCTCTCGAGCTAGGCGGGAAGTCGCCGCATGTCGTCTTCGAATCAGCGAATATAGAACAAGGTTTTGAATATGATAGGCCTAGGCCTGAATAGACATCTTACTCATCACCATGATATTTTTTGCTAGCTGCGAACTGGGCTGCCTTGGGTATCCTTTATAACACTGGTCAGGACTGCACGGCCGGATCTCGACTCTATGTCCAAGACACGATTTACGATAAATTCGTGACCACCTTGGCGGCCAAAGCTAAGGAGCTTGTCATAGGAGATGGTTTTGATGAAAAATCTGGAGGCGGCCCTGTGGTGGGTACCTCTCCTCTCCTTTTGGAGCTGGTCTCCGTTTCACCTGGCATTTCAAGGTCTCTAAAACCCAATACGACCGTGTGTGGAGCTATATCGAGTCTGGGAAGAAGGAGGGTGCCAGAGTAATCGTCGGAGGCGAAAAACGTACAACACCCGGGTACTGGGTAGATGCAACAAGTGCGCATGCTTTGCTCCCGGAAGTCTAAATGCTAACTCTCGGGGTAGTATTCACCGACATTCGCCCTGATATGAAGATCGTAAGTGGTTTATAGGAATACGTAAAGAGTTGCCACGAAAATATGTTCTTTTGTAGGTGAAAGAAGAGGTATTGCGGAACCAACAATTTCAGCGCTCTGCATACTGACTCTTTGATGAAGATTTTTGGGCCTGTGCTTTCAGTCGGAAAGTTCCATACGGAACAAGAAGCCATCGACCTCGCCAATGATACTACTTACGGGCTTGCGGCAGGCCTTCACTCCAGTAGCCATTTTTGTTTTCATCCTTCACCGTCTCAGGCTCATAGCTATGACAGCTGATCAAGCACAGTGTCACCGGGTGTCATCTGCTCTGGAGGCTGGGACGGTGAGATTTGATTGGCATTCCACTGCTACGAATACTCACTAGTACACCCAGATCTGGATCAATCAGTACAATGTTCTTTACAACAACGTGCCATTTGGTGGTAAAAAGCAGAGCGGTATCGGTATGCGAGATCAGCCTTTTTAAGAGAGTGCCGCGGGCCCTAATCGGGATGTCTTTTATTAGGTCGGGAGCTGGGTAGCCATGCCCTCGATGAGTATATCTCCACCAAGGCTGTGCACTGGAACTACGGCGAGAATATCGAGTGGCCCTTGTAGGTGTAGGCTGACTGGCGCAGATGGAATCGAAACGAGTAGCCGCATGAATTTCTTGTATTTGTATTATAACTAGGTGAGAAGGAAATGTATACATGTGGAGAAAGATGCGAGTCCTCGTCGAGAGCCTGAGGATGGTTGCTTGAGGACAGATGGAACGAGTTACGAGTTGAACTCAACCTCCACCGAGCTTCGAGAGCGAATTGTGCAATGGTTCTACGACGTTAACGCGTTAACCTTCCTGAGGAATCTTCAAGCAGATCATACTTGTGACTTGTTGGCTAGTCTTGAACTTGAACTTGGCAAATTAGTCATGTGAAGCGGGTTGCCGAACGGAAGCATGTTGCCATGAACTAAAAGGACACATTACACTTACAACAGGCTTTACCAGCAACCCAGGTCCTGGACAGCTTTAATTGACGTCTGGCAGTAGTAAGGCTTAGTGAAGGGTCCGAGTCGGAGTGTAGGAAGAATTCGTCCCAGTCTGAAGAAGACCAGTTTCACAGCAGAGGTTGCGAGACAGCTGACAAATCATTTGCTGTGGGCGTCCCATCCCAGCTCCGGCAAACTCATCCGTCTCTATTTTTTCTTTCAAAATGGATCCCCACTACGGTTCCCCTGGTGCCGATCAAATGCTCGCGATAGCCTGCACTGTCATTGGCGTAGGCCCGGGAGGCAACACGTCCGTGGTTGCGTAAGTTTCGCTCCCACCCCACACATGTCATAGCTTTGGGATTTTAAGTGCTCAAGGTTGTTCGTGGGTATTATTTTCAGCCGCGTCGCGATATGCGATTACAAGGGTGACCCCGTTTTGGATTACTATGTTGTTCCGACGATGGCCGTAACCGACTACCGTACATCCACATCCGGTATTACGGCGACGCATCTCACCTCTGGTAGGCCCATCAAAAATTAGCTGTTTCGCCCTTTTCAGGGGTGTTGTTCCTCGATCTCGTTGGACTGACTTTGGTTCGAATCGCTGAAAAAAGGGGAGGCGAAGCCGTTCGAGTTTGTTCAAGTTCACGTTGCGGAAGTCATCAAGGACAAGGTCGTCGTCGGGCACAGTCTCTGGAATGATCTCTCAGGTGGGTAACCGTGACATTGTGTTTCAGCGTTTCAGGAATTGGTCGCCATCGCCCTTAACCGTTGCTTCAATTTTTCTCTTATTTCCATTATTTTTATTTTTAGTTCTTGGGATTCCGCACCCTGCAGTCAACACGCGTGACGTCGCTTTGTATCAGCCTTTTCGAAATGCCCTTAAATTACCTAACCAGTCAGTTTGCTTACCGACTCTAACGTTTCACTTCATGGGAAGGAGAGGCCAAGAGGGCCAACAAAATCCCGTGCGTTTGTTATATATTTTACGCCTACGCCCGTCGGCACAGAGCTTATCTTCAAGCCACTTGACCTTTTTTGCGCCAACCAGTTGGAAAATGCGCGCGCGGCAATGAACCTATACCATTCTCACGCCAATGAGTGGGAAACCGCGATACACGATGGCCAGTGGCCTTCTGCCCTTCCGCCAAGCAGTTTTTCCCGCTGTTACCTCTAGAGAGCCCTGATTGAAGCATCAGAATATAAAGTGCAATTGAGGCTGGTCGAACCCAAGGTTAGGTAGCTCAGTGGTTATAGCACCTGGCATATAACTAGGAACAGTGAGGGCCTGGGTTCAAATCCCAGGATAATTACTTTTCTGTTTCAATAGCGAAACCCTCAGCGACAGCGGCCTTCAGCGTCGCTGAAGCTCTACTTGTGAACGCCCCTATGTACTTGTAGTCAATCCGATGCATAGTAGATTTCGTCGGCTATTGCCGAAGGAAGAATGAATGATGCTTTCAAGTTTTTTATTTCGTCCCGTTTCCACTTTGACCAAGACCTCGACTTACAAATTCCTCAAGTTCCGCCATGCCTCGGGACTGGGGGCGTGACGAGACCTCCTATGATCAATGTTTCTATGAGGAGCTAACGGTGTTCTCGTCACATTAAAACGACATCATGAGCTATTTCTAAACTTGAGACGGATCACTATTGTGCACCCACAAATTTTCGTGTCGAAGTTTATAGCTTAGAGCCTAGTGCTTATCCTTCGAACGTGGACACTACCCTCATGCTTGTCGTTACTTCCGGCTTTCCGCGGTCTCGTCATTCAGAATTGGATGTGATAGCCATGGAGGACCTCGGCGACGACCGTCAAAAAGGCCTTATTACTCGACATGACCTTTGAAACGTGTTCTCCGCATCAGACTTGAGTTGCGCATTGAAAGGACCTCTGCACCCGATTACCCACATCCTGTAGGACTTCATGTCTTCGCCTGAGGCCGATGGAAATGGGATATCGTGGATCCAGAAAACAGGAACTGAGTTCCATGTACCGCTGAGGCGGCTCGCTACGCGTTCGTCTCAAGGTCGTGGTACAGAACTGGTGCTGTCGAGCGAGAAAGACGTCGAGAAGGGGCCTCTTGTCAACTATGGACCATTCGATGTCCGATATTACCTCACTCCGTCCAACGAAGCCAATAAAGCTGCCGGAATTAAACCAAAGCACGTGGGTGTTACCTGGGAAGATCTTCAGGTCGTGGTTCATGGGGACAAGGACTGCAAGGTGATGTCATTTCCGTGGGAGTTAGACCTGCCATCTTACTTTTCGATTAGACATACATCAAGACGTTTGACTGTGGGTTCTTTGTTCTCGGACTACTTGAAACTTACTCTTCGACTTCTACAGTGTACATGCTTCAGGATGGTCTTGCTCTCCTCCGGCGTTCAGTCCGGCGATTTCCCTTTGGAAACCCCGCCAGGGATGGGAACACGAAAATGATTCTGAACAAGTAAGCTCTCAGGATCAGCATAATTATCAAACTTTGATCATGTCTGTGTGTTAGGTGCTCGGGCCTGGCCAAGCCCGGAGAGATGATCCTTGTCATTGGTTGTCCTGGTTCAGGTTGCACAACATTTCTGAGGGCAATCGCGAACCGGCACGATGAATATTCCTCCGTACATGGTGGCGTTTGTTATGGTGGAAGGGACGCAGTGGAGATGAGGAAGACTTGCAAAGATGATATTGTATACAATCAGGACGGTACGGCGCAAGATAATCTCTGATGACCTTGGATTGATTTTCTCTATAGATGATACGCATATTGCTACTCTGACTGTTGCTCAAACCCTGGCTTTCGTTCTTTCAACCAAAACACCCAGTTCCAAAGGTCGTTTCCGGAAATTTTCTGGTCAGGATATCGACATACGGTCCCAAGACATGTTACTCAGAATGCTTAATATGGCTCACGTTTCTGGCACACTCGTCGGCGATGAGTTCGTTCGTGGAGTTTCTGGTGGCGAGCGGAAACGGGTAAGTATTGCTGAAATGATGGCGACAGGAGCTCCTGTGCAGTGCTGGGATAATCCCATTCGTGGCCTGGATGCATCAACGGCCCTCGACTGCGTCAGAAGTTTGCGAGTTATGACAGACGTATTAAGTCAAACAACGTTCGTCACGCTGTATGTAATTGAATATGATGTCCCAGAAACCTGGTCGCTAATCAACAACTCAGGTACCAGGCCAGTGAAGGGATCTATGATCTATTTGACAGGGTTCTCGTCCTAGATGAAGGACGGCAGATATACCTCGGCCCACCTACCTTGGCTCGCTCATACTTCGAAGAACTAGGTTTCAGGTCACTTCCTCGACAACCGACTGTGGACTACCTGACGGCTTGTACGGATCCAAATGAACGGAAATTCTGCCATGGACGAAGCGTCGCTGATGTTCCGTCCGATCCTGAGGCCTTGGAACAAGCATTCTGGAAATCCGAGCTCGGATTTGATTTGCGCAGGGAGCTGGAGGATTATAAAGTGTCCATGAAAGACGACCAAGAGGTGTTCAAAAGTGCCATGCTTCTTGAGAAGAACAACGGGGCTTCAAAGAAAAGCCCATATACTATCGGGTACGCGGGGCAAGTTATGGCATTGGCACGGCGACAGTTTCAGATGAGGCTCCAAGACCGCTTCCAGCTTGTGACAAGTTTTTCTTTGTCGGTGGTGCGTAGGCTCTACAAGAGATTGATTTCGTCTGACCAACTTTTAGATCCTTGCCATTATCATCGGAGCTGCATTTTTCGACCAGCCGTCAACATCGACCGGCGCATTTACTCGCTCCAGCGTCATTTTTCTCAGTATGTTAACGTCTTGCCTCGATGCATTTGGCGAAGTGGGTCTTCATTCGCTCGCTGCTTGGATTGTCTTGATTTGTTATAGTTGTCGATGCAAGTTGGCGGCCGTAGTGTACTTCACAAGCAAGTGAGTCTCCGTAATCCCTCGATCCCCGCGCAGCGGCGATATTCAACTGGTGCAGACAAGTTACAGCCTCTACCGTCCGTCAGCTCTCGCACTTGGAAATGGACTTTCAGATCTTCCCTTTTCCGTCGTTCGCGTTCTGGTTTACGATGTCATCATTTACTTTATAGCCCATCTTCGCCGTACGGGCGCTGCCTTCTGGACATTCCACCTTTTCAATTATATGGCGTTTCTAACCATTCAAGGCCTCTTCCGGACTCTGGGCTTCTTTTTTTCCTCATATGAAGCTGCCTTCCGCTTGGGTGCATTCCTTGTTACGGGCCTTGTTCTCGGTACTGGGTATCTCATCCCAGTACAGGAGATGAAAAAGTGGCTGTTCTGGATCGTAAGTCGTTCTCTCCCTACTTTCAACAGATGCTGAATATGAGGCTCAGTTTTATCTGAATCCCATGTCTTATGGTGAGTGGGCCCTGTTTCAGATTTTGTATCACTGATGCGTTTCGTTCACAGCGTTTTCTGGTTTAATGGAGAATGAGTATGGCGGGCTCGGCGTGAGTCGTCTATAAGAATTCGATTGCCTTGGTACTAACAATCTTTATTCCAGCTAACTTGTGATGGTGGCTATGTGGTTCCTAGGAATGGCTTTAATATTAGTAAATATCCGTAAGTACAAGAGCACGCCGAATGTCTAGGGACTCGGATGCTACCAAAAACGTAACCCCCAGGACCAGTATAGGGCCAAATCAAGTCTGTACTCTGTTGGGGGCAAAGCCGGGGTTCAATATCACGTCAGGCCGTTCGTACCTGCTAACCGCCTATGACATGGACGATCGTGACATTTGGCGTCGTAATTTCGTCGTCCTCCTTGGTTGGATGTTGTTTTATCAAGTAACTCAGATTATCATTTTAGACTTCCTTCCGGTAAGCGTCACGCACCAGTCTCGCTGTTCGAGCTTCCAACTTACACTACGAAGCAACGCACCGGCAGCGCGTTTCTACGTTTGTTCGTTAGGGAGACGTCAGAGACGCACAAATTGAACGATCGACTCCGCGAGCGGAAAGCAAGCCGACTGCAGGCGATGACAGCTGAAGAGGTCAATGGAGAAAATACCGTTTGTAAGAAGGATGTAATGTGAGTGAAGACTGCCATGAGGGACTTGTAGCAAGGACATACTGATATTTGATACTTTCTTCGAACAGGACGTCATTCGACCGCGGTATTTTCACCTGGGAGGGTGTCAGCTATCATGTTCCAGTCTCAGACGGCACGCGACAGCTGCTTAGCGATGTATATGGCTACGTTAAGCCCGGAACGCTGACCGCACTCATGGGAGCTTCTGGCGCTGGAAAGACGACGTGTCTCGATGTATTGGCTAAAAGAAAAACCATCGGTGTCGTCCGCGGGGACATCCTCGTCAATGGGCATCCTACTGGACCGGATTTTGCCCGATCCACGGCATATGCTGAGCAAATGGATGTACATGAAGGAACCGCAACAGTACGCGAGGCCATGCGTTTTTCGGCTCATCTGCGCCAGCCATTCGACGTTCCAAAGGAAGTGAAGAACGCATTCGTCGAAGAAACGATAGACCTCCTGGAACTACACGACTTGGCTGATGCCATCGTTCACAATCTTGATCCCGGGGCCCGCAAACGTCTCACCATCGGCGTAGAGCTAGCTAGCAAATCGGGTCTCCTCCTGTTCCTGGATGAGCCTACGTCGGGTCTAGACGCACAGAGCGCCCGGAACCTGATCCGCATCTTGCGAAGACTTGCCGACCAGGGCCAAGCTATTCTCTGCACAGTACACCAACCTTCTTCTCTACTCTTCGAGACCTTTGACCGCCTGCTTCTCCTGGAGAACGGCGGGCATACTGTCTACTTTGGAGATATTGGACCAAACTCGCGCGTTGTACGAGACTATTTTGCTCGCTATGGCGCAAGATGCCCCCAAGACGCGAATATCGCAGAGTATATGCTGGATGCCATCGGCGCGGGGACGGCACCACGGATTGGATATCGCGACTGGAAAGACATCTGGCTAGACTCGCCGGAATTCCGACTTGTTCAGGAGGAGATACGTGAACTTAAACGGTCTACCGCGTCTGGCCAAAGTAAAATAGCGCCAATTTGTGAGTGGCTTAGTTGCTTCGAAGGAATGGCTCTCATGCAGAACAGATGCGACGCCGTTTCTCTACCAACTGTCCGTGGTCACAAAACGAGCATTCGTTACTCTACGGCGATCCCCTGACTATATTTTCACGCGGCTCTTTTTGCACATCGGCACCTCGTTGTTTGTATCTCTTGTATTCTTTCAGCTTGGAAGAAGCTTAAGAGACCTTAAATACCGCATGTTCTCGATGTATTGTCCCATTATGCTCATACACTGGTCGTC